AGAAATACACACATATATAAACATATTTTTATTACAGTTACATGCAGTTTGAAATTGAAAAATAAATATAGAAATGTTAAAAAATCTGTATTCCATTGCTTTCAAACTTTTTGTGGTCAATCAGATAATACTTGGTTATATTAACTGCAATACTCTTAATATTAATAAAATTAGAGAAAAAATGTCTAAAAAATCTAATTAGTATACTTAAAGACATATTCCCCCTTGATATATATTATAATATGTTATATATTATAAATAATTTAAGCTCAGAAAAAATGGTTTAACTCGACTGCAAGTTTAATAAACTAGTTTATAGACACACAGCAAAATATTTCAATTCCCAGAGCATCCTAAATAAATTTTATGATATTGCAAAGCTAAAGAATTTGTGGAATTTTTGCCGTTATGAACTTGATTTTTGCACACAAGTATTAAAAAAACACACACACATATATAATTGACGCAATGCGAGGCAAGCAACGGAGCTTATTTGGATTGACTCGCATTTCACCGCATTCAACATTTTTCGCATCCATCCGTTGGCAGCTGTTAACTGCCAGTTGCTACCAGCTACTACCCGCGTTCGTACGCAAAAGTGACCATTGAATCATAAGTTTATAAAACAATCCAATGAAATGCAATGAAAATTAAGCTGTTGCGAATTCATTCGCCTCTTGTCGCCGCTGGGGTTGTGGCACTTTTTGGGATGCAAGTAAGAGTATTAAAAATGTTTGTATAATATTTATGGTATGTATTGCTATTGCTCTTGTGCGTAAATACTCGTGCTATAAAATTTCATTCATGTCGGTGTTTACTTAAAGCAGCAAACGTTTATTTTAGTTTGCAATATGGTGTGGTTTTGGTTATGCTTAAAAATATTTCTGGATATTTGGAATTTGGATACCGTTCAAAATTCCACAATTTTGCATTTACTATAATAAAAATTTCAAAAAATAAATAAAAATTCAGCGCTTCTGAAATTGCCTAAAATACGAAATTTTGTTACTTTGAATGTAAAATCCAACTTTTCCATCAGAAGGTATATAATGGACAGTAGTGCAATATTAATATTTTTATAAACCTCGACATGAGTAATTGCATGCAAAATTTAAAGCAGCAAATTTTTGTAAAATTTTTAAACCCATTGGTTAACTATCAGTTAGGTTTTCTTGTAAAGTTTTTTAAAAAAGTCACAAGAAGGACTAAAAAGTGTTAAAACTGTGAAAAATTAAAATAATATATATATTTGAATTGTCGTTTACATCAAATACAGCGCTCGACTGAACTATTTGCAGTATTTATGGAAAAAAAAATTTTGCGCAGAGTTAGCAATATTTCTCGTATATTTAGGTAGAATAAAGTCGATTAAGCACATTTAGTTTGCTATACCTTTAATTTAACTGGATTAACCAACTTAAATTTTTAAGTATTCATTTAATTTTTTTTTTACTTTAATACATAAGTCCACACAGCAAACAATTTAAAGCAAGTTCAAAATTATGTAATTTTTAAAAACTATGTTTAGACATTCACATAGTTATATTATAGATATTAGTAATTTAAAATAAATCACCTTAAGCCTTTGTAAAAAATATGCTGCCCTAAAAAATATTTTCATACGCTGTGTAAATTTTTGAATAAATAATTTCTAAAAAAAAAGCAAATATTGTCAATTTTTTTTTTTTACCACTTTTCGAATAATTTTTCCCCGTCTGTTCAACGTGGCGTATGAGTGATTTTCATATTCAAATATGCATGAATAATTGAAGCGGAAGCAAAGTCTGCCAAATTTATTGTAAAAATATTTTTTTAAATTGTTCGCAAAGCGTGCATTTAACCGAAATCGCACTAAAATATTTTATAACGGTGCATATGCATATAGCATTCTTTTTGCCTTTTTACAACTCATTTCCCAGTCAATCATTTAGTAATGAGTCGTGTGTAAACATAGCATATAATATGCGTTTAATTAATTCTGAAATCGCTTTGGCAAAAAATTGCATTTTTCTCCCGCTCGCAATGAAAATAGCATGAATTGTATGCAGCGTCAGCGCAGCTTTAAGCACTGGCTACATTTTGTTAATTTTATTCATTTTGCCTGCGCCAACAGCAAAACAGTTGCTACAACAATTGCAGATACAAAACGCCAAAATCAAATGCAGCAGTCATCAGCCGGCCGTACAACAAGTTTACCAGTTCAAACAGAAGAAAAAAACAATGCGAAAAACAAATACCAGCAACGACAAGAGTTGAACAATTTCCATTGCATGATTAACCGTTGCCAATGGCGGCATGTGTGTGCAGCGCAGTCATACTCCCAAAGGCCAAACACTTTATACACACCAATACAAACTAAAGCCGGCTTGGTTGTACACTGCGAGTAAATGCTATTTAACGGTATTTATTTACCATGAAAGTTAATTTATTTACAAATTGCAATAAAGCAAACAACAATAAGCACAACATTACGCTTACTGACAATTTAAGTTACAGCAGCGGTGTGGCGCAGCAGCGTCAGCGTTAAAGCCATAATAAGCAAGCAACACATTCATATGTTTTTATCATTTAATCCATGGCAAAACAAAAGCGAATAGATAAATAGGAGCATGTGTTGGTCTATGTAGCTGGATTGCATATTTCTCACTGCAAACCCGTTTCTGCGGGCCAAAACCAGTCCGCAGCCATAAGAAATTCCACAGAGGTGAGACGACATTTATTCTGTTGCTGCGGCGACGCACCTTTTTCAATAGCACACCCCGAGCACCCGTGCGGAAATCTTTTGAAGTAACACTTAGCTGATTTGGTGTTATAAGTATTATATGAAAAAGAGCGTAATTCATTACAAGAGAAAATAACTACAAGTGAAGGCATAGTATTTTGTCATTTGTTTATAACAACTACAATGTTCGAAAAATGCTTGAAATAAAACAAAAATAGACTTGAAGATTAGAGGCAGCCTTTGACATTATTTAAAAATAGACATAAAAGAAACCGTTTGAAAGGTACCTAGTGTGACAGCCCAAAAACTGCCATGTTTGGAAATTCAAAAAAAAAAAAAAAAAAATTACGGCATCAATTGCTTGAACATTTGAAGGGTATTCTAGAAATACACAGTAACATTTTTGAAGAAGAACTTTATTATTTTTTGAGCACGACAGCGCTAAAAAAATGTTCTTTCACAACCGCAGTGATTTCGGTCTTCACCGTGGATGACCAAAAGAAAATTCTCTATAGAAGATATTGTTCGGTCAATGACCTACAGTCGAAAGCAAAATCAAAACATGACAAAATAGCGGTATTTAAAAAACAAGTTGAATTTTACCCAAAATTTTGGTCATTCCAAAATTCATTTTTGGTCTGCCAAAATTTGATTTTTGGTCATAACAAAAAACTGGTAGGTGAAAATGTAGTTCTGAGAAAACGCATTTAAAGATAAATTGAAAAAGCTGATTGAACTGAGCGAGTACATTTTAGAAGGCTGCACTCAAAAAATATTTGAGATATTGATATAAAATTTTAGTATGTTAAAGGTTCGAAAAATAACCCACGGTGTGCCCGGAAAGTTGCCAGTTTTGAAATATTTAAAAAAACTTAATCCATTCGATTTCGTAATTACCTTAACCTAAGCTTGTTTATGTGTTACGGCAGTTATCTTTCTTTTTCATGCATTAAAAAATCTTTTAAGAATATCATATTACTTATATAATATAATATTACGATTTTTGTTATTTCATTAGAATCTCCGTCATTACTAAAGTTATTTTTATATTGAAAATTGACGCCATTTCAATATTTCTCTATCAGTTTATTATTATGAAAGAGTAATTTCCCAATATGAATGGCGTAATCAAAAATTTTATAGTGGCTACCATCAGTTTTTCGCAGCTATCAGCGAAATTGTTTCAAATATAAAGGCGATATTGTTTTCGTTTTATTAAGAAAACCTCTAACCTCTGCAATTAATAGCAGTGAAGTCATACGTGCACATTTTTAAAATATTATTTTATTTGTCTTTTGTCTTTTGTGTTAAAGTTTTTTTATTTTTTATTTATTTTTAGCTTTAGCGTTCAAATTAATTGCCCAGCAGGAATTATATGCACAGTAATGATATTGACATGTGCCACAAATTTATGTAAATTTTTGCATTGAAAGAGAGAGTAAGAAATGTCAATTTCATGAATCTCTTATTTTAAAAAAATGTATAATTCAATCATATAAAGTTGTGTCAATAGCACTAAAACAACAATTTGTCAAAAGTGTTTTAACTCATAATGTCAAAAACAGCTGTTTTAATTTGGTTTCTGAGTTTCTGAGTGGCAAACGCATACGAATTGATTGTAAAACACCCAAAATCATCAAAATGTAAACAGGAAATTCATGTGAAAAACATAAAAAAGTTTATTTGACATTTTGGATTGATTTTTTTTTTTTGGTAAGAAGAAGCAGGCTCTCAAGTAACAAACTCATAAACTTTGTTGGTTCGCAAATATTTAATAATGTTTTATCTTATCTGCCAATATATACAATATGTGCCAAATAACCAGTTGCTTGGTTTTTGTTTAATATTTCTACCATTTTGTATCATATGTACAAGTATGAATATACATACATACATGTGTTACGACGTTATATGTATTGGAGTTGTAAGTAACTTCAGTTGTTGACAACACAACTACAAGTGATTAATGACTTCGGCGCTGAGCTATTGTGTTAATGAGCTGTTCGAAATATGTTTGTTATTTAATAAGCTTTCAATTTCGTTGACATATTTGCAAAAACAACCTGACAATTTACAAGAAAATAGATCAAGTTCAAATACTGCCGCATTCGTTTTGAATTTCTGAAGGCCGTAAATCGTTGTTAGGAAATCATTTCACCAGTTATGTACATTTATACATATTTACACACATATACATACATACTATTTACATGACATATAAGTACTTCTGCATGCACACCCATTCATTAATGCTTTTATCCACATTTTTTTTTTCCAGTTGAGCGACAACTTTGTTTCAAGGCCTTCCAGCAACAGCAGCCGATCTACATTAAGCCAATTCCACACTTTCCTTATACAGATTGAAAATATTATTGGCCATTTGCATTTTAATACGCCGTAACGTTAATACAACCAACGGTTTCACGCTTGATAAAACGAGAGAAATACGGCGAAAGAGGCACAAAGTATGCTGCAAATATTGAAGTAGTTGGTAAAAGAGAACCAGTAGATTTGTACGCGTAAATAATCCGAACAAATAAATAAAATAAACTAAAACAAAAGAAAAATAAAGAATAAAATTTTAAAAGAAACCGTTCAACTATTGCTCGTATTACCCATTGACCAAGAGACCTACTGAAGGTGAGCCAACATGTGCTCACAGCTGATCGATTAACGCGGTAAGCAGTGAGCGCCATATGACGTCAGTAAATTTGATGCATTCGTAGTAGATGTAGTGCGTGAAAAATAATAAATATTTTAAAATATACACTAAACGGTACAACACGCGAAATAGTAAAAAATACAATACTACAACTGCTTATAATCAAGAAAACGCAATAAAAACATAAAAATATTAAAGCAACAATCAACCGCCGTCAACGATTGCCGCTCACCGTTCGCCAGCGTGTTCAGTGCGTTAAACCGCCACGCAAACGAAATATTCCCATGCTCTTTTTAACAAAAATAAAATAATTATAATAACAAAATAAAATAAAGTAGAAATAAACAAAACAATTCCAAACACACAATAAATCAGCGATGAGCGTAAAAGTAATAAATTCTAACTTGTAGCAAGCATAAAAAGCAAATGCTTTAAAAAAACACACTCGAATATCACAGCTAAAAAGCACTTAGCGCAAACTCTAAAAAGGCGACGATAACGCCAGAAATAGAAAATAATTAAAATTTAATTTTCAATTAATTTGGAAACGAGAACGAAGTACTGTTATCTCAAACCGGAAGAATTCTGCATATCTAGATTTCGCACGCTGATAGCGATAGCAGCGTTGCGACAGTCATACCTTCACAAATTAACGGTCTCAAATCGCAATCGGCAGTCGCGCAACTAGCGCGTACACACACGGATACACACGCACACGTCAACTCCACCGAAAAGCATGTCACAAGTGCCAACGCAATTTCAACTCACCCTCACCGTTCCGCCGTCAAGTTGAATGCCAACGTGTGTGTTCAACAATAATACACCATCATAATTTATAAAATACTCACCATAATTTGTTACTAAAAACCCAATTGTTTGTTTTCTACACGCGTATCTTTTTTTCCTCGTTTTAGTTCATAATTTCATTTGTGATGCGGTGCTTATAAATTTAATCAACTATTTTAAGCTGTTAGCGTTTAAGTGCAATCGAAAGGAGTAGAGCAGAGAGCAAAAGTAATTTAAACAAACACAAACTCATTTTACACAAACATCAGTTCAAATTAAATACCCGCAACACACACATCCATACATATTTGCGCAATATGTCCGCCATTAATTTTACACGTAAACTGCGCGGTCGCATGCGCTCCAATACCTGCCGCATCGTCTTGCTCACCTCCTTGGTATGGGTGATTGTGGATTTTGTGCTAATCGCCCGCTATTCGGATTGCATTGGACGCGACGGTTGGCGGTGTAGGCGGCCCGGGGAGTATGATGTGGAGGTGAGTTGAAAGTTGATTTTATTTTTAAAATAGTAGTGTGAAATATTACCTTCATAAGTACATATATACTCTAGTCGTATAAAATTATGTATGTACATATGTAATGGATTAGTGGCACTATTATTCATATGTATGGAGTAGCGTAAGGGGTTACATGGGTTTCACGGCTTCAAAAAACAAACAAAAAATTTATTATCTTATTAAATTCTATAACATCTCTAGAATATTGTTCTAAATTCTCAAGTTGTTCGCAGTAATAGTTTTGGTGATACAGCGCGTTTTTCTCGAAACTGTGTTTTCAAAGCGGTTGTCAAGATTTCTCACGAACTACTCAAGCGATCATAATGAAATTTTACACATGTCTTTGAGATGTAATTTACATGGTCTTGCCGCGGAAAATTTTTTTGTTCAATTACAACTATTTGAAAAACAAAAAACGTCGAGAAATTTTCACTAAAATTTGCGTTTTCTTGTTAACGCGGAAGCAAATTTTTTGATGAAAAGTGCACTGATATTTTTTTGCTCATAAATGTGTATTATATATAAAAGCAATATTTTTAACTACATACGATTCGCCAAGTGTTAGACAGTAGCGAATCGAACATACTCTGTACCTTTCTCTGATGGAGATATGTTTCTTTCTACGCCAAAAAAAAAGTGTAGTAATACCTTGGGTTCGAACGGCGTCCATGCTATAGATTTTCTATAAAAAATTCCTTTATTTTTCATGTGTTATGGTTTTAAAGTCTTGAATTTGCTGTTTTGACAGTGATTTATCATTTCAGCCCCTCACAATGTTCACAACAGTAAAACAAAACTTCGAAAAAAAATCGAATTCAATGACTTTGTTGTTGTTGAGAGTAGAATCCACAGCTAGCGAGCAGAGCAATGGCGAATCGATGGCAGCTGCTGTCGATGTTTTTCCAAAAGTTGAAAATTCATAGATCTCCAATTATTCGCGCCTTTATTTAAATTTTTTCAAAAACATATTTGGTAACAAAAAGACTTCATTGAATAAAAAATTTTCCAAATATACTAATATTGAAAATTTATTGTATTTACTAGTGTTTCGTCTTCTTTCACCTTAGTAACTATGTGTATAGAAATGTAGCGAGCTAATTAGTTTCCATTAATTATTTAGTAAAAAAAAAGTTGTTAACCGCGCACACAAGTCGTGCCGCAAAGCACATAAATTTAGCAAAAATTGGAAATTATAACGAACGAAACGAAATTACTTTTGTTTTAATTAAGTGACATACTATTTTACGCATGTAGATACATATGTTTGTATGTGTGTGTGTGCACCTGCAAACATAGTTTTGTGCTGATTAATGTGTTGGCAGCTTAAAAGTTAAATACAGTAAGACCATAAAGTTCGCAGTCAAAATGCAGCGAAATATTTGTCCTCGTTGATGCAAATTTGCATATATGTATATTCTTACATATGTATATATATCTAATGTATGTACATACATATGTATGCATGTGTGTATGTATATTTCATTGTGCTTGCTCATAACTTTTAGTTGCCATTGTTTTTGGAAGCTGATGCGCCAACACTTCTGCTGCATATATTGTAATAAAGTTGTTGTTGCTGCTACTATTGTTGTTGTCTCGAAGAGACACCAGCTCTGGAGTATAACATTTTAATTAACACGTCATGAGCGGCATTGTCGACGTTGTTGTTGCTCCACTGCTACAGTACTTCTTACTACTGCTGTTGTTGTTGTTATTGTTGCTGTGCTGCTCCACTCCTCCTTGTTGTTGTTATTGTTATTATTTCTCCGAGCTGGTCATTTGCGGCCCGTCGGCCATCCGTTGTTATAATTATTATTGTTTTGTTGTAATTGCCTGTGCTTGTTGTTGTATGCCTCCGTAGATGTGTAGTAGTGTGTTGCTGTTATTGTTGCAGCCAGTCAACCAACCGGCATTGCAATTAATTACGCAATAAATCTTGCCTTAAATCAGAATTACAGTGTTGAACTTGGCTTGTGGCATGAACCAGCAGCAGACACAACATAACGCATTGCTACCACTTGTTGTTGTTGTTGCCTTTGCGCACACGCATACGCACACGCTCGACAATGAAGCATACAAAAAATTGTAGCCCACACAGCTTTGCCGGTCCAACGTTGTCTTGCAAACCGCTTCAGCAGCTGCCTGACATGCTTCATTGGCTTTTGTCGACGGCATTTTGCTCCGCTTTGCTCTGCGAGAGCTGGCGCTTTCCATTCATGAGTTTACACAACGCAACCCTGCGCCTCGCTGTCTGTCGCAAAAATGTTTAAATGTTTGTTGGCTGCACTTTATACACATATGTATCTATATTCATATATGTATGTATGTATATTAGCTGCGACTGTAGGCCGTTCGGCTACTCTGCTTGTTGCTGTCGTCACTGACACCAACGACATCAGCAAAGTCACTGCCGACAAGGAGGGTTTTTAGTGTAAACGGCATATGACCAACGACGACAGAGTGGCCAACATACATACATACATACATACACATTTCCTACGTTCTTTCTACATACATATGTGTGTGGTTGTGAGTGCATACTCACGCTATAAATATTGTAGTATTTTCATTACAAAAACGTTATTTGTTGCATGCCACCGGTCCGCGCTTTTTGTCTGCGTTCTTTAAGCGAACTGTGTGTTGTTGCAAATGAAAAATAATATATTTTTTACAATGAGCCAACGCTTATCCACATTTGTATTTCTTTATATAAATGCTCTATTTTCTGATAACTACGCATTCCTAGAATTAGCTGATTAAAACATATGTATGTATGTACATATTTAATGTTATGGTTTTGTTTTTTATCTTCTGTTTTTATTTACATATGTACATACAATATTTTTTATCTTTCTCAAAAGGAGACCGAGCAAATTTCTGTATTTTAATGTAAGCATTATAGTTTTATAGGTACGTATACTTGTAGCATAAGCAGTGGATAAGCCTGATTTTTCACGAGCGTATTACTTATTAAACTATTGTGGTCTGAAGAGTTTATTCTAGTCTAGAGGCCCGAATTTCTACTGTTTTTTCAATTGAAGAACAGACTGCTATTAAAATTTTTAGTACCTACTTTTATCACTCACTAAACCTGCTATAACTTTTAAATAATTCGAGCTTTGGAAATACCTTTTAAAAAGATATTTTTTAAATATTTATTTTTTTAATACTAGACTAGAATACCCGCTTAATTAATTATTCGTAATCATTTAAAGGTTCCCTCTATAAACTAATGCTTTCGTCTAAGATTTACTAAACCGAACTGCATAATGCATCTGGTGTTACCAATCCAAAAAAACAAAAACAAAAAAAAAAAAAAAAAAAAAACAATACAGATGTTAATTTTGGATTTCAAAAGTTCAAAAAGTGCATCTTGTTAAGTTAAACCTCTCGCAGCTAAATTTACTCCCAGAAGTGGAATTCAAGTGCAGATCAGTTATACCCAAAAAAGATTAACAGAAATTGTTAATATTTTGGGTGGGTTTATTGATACGCAAATTTGGTGGCATTTGGTGAACGTATTTTCAGGCATAAGCTTTTTCCAACATTACTGGTTAGTCATAGCTAGATTACTAGCTATTATCAGAGTCTTAACGTATCGCCACAAAGTCTAACGCGATAAAATCACATGGCCTACAATAAAGTAATGTTTTCAAGCGCTTTAAGTTTTTAAAATCATAGGCTTTAGCACTTATATTGTTGGTATTGATGTAGAAAATCACAAAGTCACAAATAATTTGCCTGTAGGGTCCCCGTTCACAGAACAAAATGTTAACTCTATCTTCTGTTTAAAAAAATTGTGAACAGCTATTTCTTCTAACCTGACATACCACACCAGATGGTATATTTATTTGAATTCAAGCGCTTCTGAAGAGTCTCTTAAGAGTTCTTCGTATGAAATCACAGTTTATTTGACAGCTATCCCCGTAGGAAATTTTATACATCAACAAATCCCACTCTATGTGTATCTATAATTATATAAGTACATATATGGTACATATATTGTTACAAAAAATCAAAAAAGACCTAAGTTACATTTTATAAATTGTACACGAGAAGCAAAAAACATAAAAGAAAAAACCAAAAAAGCATGTTTTATTAGTAATATGTATATCAAAAGAAAAACTGATAAAGAAGAACACACACAATTTCGTTGTATGTCATATTGTTTATTATTTCTCTAAAGGCGTACGTTACTGTCTTGGTTGACAAATTGGTTGCGCTTACTCTTAGAGCTTTTTGAATTTGGTTTATAGCAACGTTATTATGGGTTGTTGGATTATAAAATTTTAATGTAACATCTATTATAATACGGTACATGATAATTAATTAAACAGTCGATTTTGAATTTTTTGTAACTTAGGGCTTTTTTGATTTCATGTGGCAATATAAATAATGAGTTTAAAGTAGGTAGGGTCGAAGTGAAAATCTAGCAAATTATAGAACCAGTTTTTAAATATAATTCTTATTATGACTAAAGCCTCTCTTCGTCTATTTTTTCAAGTTTTGAAATATAATAAAAAAAAATCACCTGACTGAAGTATTTTTTTTTCGAAAAAAGTTTTATTTTTCCTATAAATAACATAAATACATTTTTTTAAGAATTTTAACAGAAAAATTAACAAGATAACTAAATTCAAAAATACGTGCATATCTCAATGTGCTTTGATAAACAATTTCTGAAATAAAAAAAATGTTGGCAGTTGGTTAAAGCTAGAAATAATTAAAATTTTTTTATTTTATTTATTAGTATTATTATTATTTTTCTTTGGCAATCTTGAGACACTGCCATTAAAAACCAAATGTTAATTTATCAATAACCGCTATTCGTTGTCAATGATTTCTACATAGCGAAGTTTTGCATGTGTATGCCACATTTGTACAGCATAACATGCTTCCAAATGTGACAGATGTTTCAATAAACAGTTTTTTTTTTTTTAATTTAATTATTACCAGCCAAAACGTAAACGCAAAAAATCATATATAAAAATGCATGTTTAATTAAATTAAATTTTTCCATTACGAAAATTGTTGCTTTTTTCCACACCCTTTCGTAATGCATTTTCCTTTCGGCTTTCCGGTTGCAGGTGCCAGATGCACAAAAGCTTATTGACGAACAAAATATGGTCGACGACAATGAAATTAACACAGAAAAGAGTTTGGACGGCGATGCTGGCGGTGTGGGTAAGGGTCCCGGTGGCTTTGCGGGCGGCGGCATTTCCATGACATATCGCAGTACGTTATTGAAGAAATGGCGTTCAGCGCCAACGGTAAAGGAGGAGAAGGGCAAACAAGGCGAATTGGGTAAACCAGTTAAAATACCACCGGAAATGAAGGATCTGATGAAGGAGAAATTCAAAGAGAATCAATTCAACCTACTAGCCAGCGATATGATCTCTTTGAATCGCTCGCTGACCGATGTGCGGCATGAAAAGTAAGTACATATATGTATAACAACATATGTGCTTGCAGGCACTGTATGTGCATATATGTATGTATGTATGCATGCATAACTACCTTATATAAATGATTTTTAATTTTGCATTGCAAAATCTGTCATTATTTACAATATATGTACATATATGCAGTATATTGCAGCATATGCCACAGTATAAGTATATGTTTTTATCATAAGTTTAATTTAATTTATGTGAGCACTACACATTCGCAATCTACATTTACAGTTGCAAGAAGAAGCTTTATCCATCGAAACTGCCAACAACCTCAATTGTGATAGTTTTCCACAATGAAGCGTGGTCAACGCTGCTCCGCACCGTTTGGAGTGTCATCAATCGGTCGCCGCGCACTCTACTCAAGGAGATTATACTTGTGGATGACGCCAGCGAGCGTGGTAAGTACGAAAATAACTTTAAAGCAAGAATTGTGTAATTAAATATCCATTGTAAATTATTAATTTATGTAAATAAGTAGGCATTTTTCACTTAAAACTTCTTCCTTTCGCTTTAACTCTTCTCTTTGCACACAGATTATTTGGGCAAAAAGTTGGAGGACTATGTGGCGAAATTACCGGTACATACATTTGTGCTGCGCACGGAAAAACGCTCTGGCTTAATACGCGCCCGTCTGTTAGGCGCCGAGCACGTGACGGTATAATCATTGATAATATTATTTTCTACTCGTTTTCCTTTTAAACCGTTGCCTATGGTTAACGCTTTTTGTTTTTGTAGGGTGAAGTCATCACATTCCTAGATGCGCACTGCGAGTGCACAGAGGGTTGGCTGGAACCGCTGTTAGCACGTATTGTGCAAAATCGTCGCACCGTGGTGTGCCCCATAATTGATGTGATCTCCGATGAGTCTTTCGAATATATAACCGCTTCGGACTCAACGTGGGGTGGTTTCAATTGGAAATTGAATTTCAGATGGTAAATTGAAAGTTGAAATTGTGATTGCGTTGGTCTAATGAATCATTGTCAGAATTGATTATATTTAGTTAGGCGGACGCTGGCTCGTTAAATGAAGCATAATGCGAATATATTATATGACATATAATCAAATTGGTCATAATACTCATAAACGTGAATACTACAAGTATATATACATATTTTTGAGATCTCGAAATTTTTTGTTTAAAAATTAATTATAATATGATTTTCAATATCCGTTTAGTTAGGATAAGTCTGCATTTTTTTGAAAATAGCTTAGCCATTAATTTGAAACTTTGTTAAATTTATTATGTAGCAGCTATATTGCTGTAAAATGTATGACTGACCTAGCCAATTGTGAGTTTTAAGGTGGTTCCCTAAACATTTTGACTTATCTCTGTAATAATAGTCTAATATAATACTTTTATCCGAACAAGAGCGGACATAACAGTATAAGACAAACTGTATAACTTTTAAAAACCATTTTTTCTGCTGTTTAAAATTTAAACCTTAAATTTGAAGCGACAAAAATATTTTATTTACAATAGTTGTAATTTTTTTTGTTTAAATTTAAAATTTCGTACTAACTTAATTTTTTTGTAATTATCTTTTAGGTATCGTGTTCCTCAACGTGAAATGGAGCGTCGCAATAACGATCGTACAGCGCCACTGCGCACGCCTACCATGGCCGGTGGCCTATTCTCAATTGATAAAGATTATTTCTATGAAATTGGTTCATATGATGAGGGCATGGATATATGGGGTGGTGAAAATTTAGAAATGTCCTTCCGTGTAAGTAAACCACTTCAACTCACAAATTTATTTGCAAACCAATTTTTTTTTATATAAAGTTTAAAACTTAACTTAATTTCCAGTAAACTATTATGCCGATTTATTGTAGGCAAAGCACAAATGAAAAGAGTTGCTAATTGGTTTTTTTTAAATAGTATTGCGACGAGCTTAAATTTAACTGCTTGTGTTTTTTGATGTTTTGCTCGTATTAACGGCATAGTTTAAAAATGAATTTTACTACTACACTTTAGATATGGCAATGTGGCGGCATTTTAGAAATAATACCCTGCTCTCATGTGGGTCATGTCTTCCGTGATAAGTCGCCTTATACATTCCCTGGCGGTGTGGCCAAAATTGTGCTGCACAATGCGGCGCGTGTGGCCGAAGTGTGGTTGGATGAGTGGCGTGATTTTTATTATGCAATGAGCTCAGGTTCGAAATTGTGTCTTGTTCACATTGTTTCCTACTACTACTACTGCTACTACTACTACCAATACTACTACTTGAAATACATGAATACATTTGTTTCGAAACTAAAAACTGCCGACACTTTTACTACCACTACATTATTACACAAACTACCAAAGTAATCTAAACAATACAAACATTTTTTTTGTGTTAATATATTTGGTATAATAAATCACCTACCACCTGTGTATTAACTTTTTTAACCTCAACTTGACTAACAAACTTAAAGTTAATTACAAACTTTTTACATCACTAAATGTAATTAAGATTGGTTTTCTTTTATTACATATTTTATTCAAATAACTACTTTATTGACTTTTTACTTATTCTTTTAATTTTATTAAACCATAAACAAATTTGAAATACATATATTTTATTAATAAGCGTTAATGTCGTAAACACAAAATTTTCTATATTTAAACCATTTTTCATAAATGATAATGAGAATTTATATGCGAAAATATTATTCCGCCGATATTTAAAGTTGTTACTTGAAGAATTTTTTTTGAATGAATTAATGTTCTACAATCTGAAACTAAAAATGTTGCAGTAAAATAATATTTTTGATTGAGTTAAATTAAATTATTTCTTCAAAATTTTCAGTCGAATGCCATATTTGCAACTTAATTTTGCGGTTATGTGTTAGGTAGCACATAAAAAACTATTTTTAATAATAAAAACATATCTTTAAAAATTTGTTAACAAATAAATATAAAAAATAGTAATGGCAAAAATGCTTATAATCTTTATCGGAGTATAAATTCGATTTTCATTTATGCTATATATTGTCAACTAAAATGCAAAATAATTCATTCACAAAAAAAAAAAAAAAAAATTGAATTTTTTAATTACGACTCACTACATCATATTGCATATACATACATATATAAAAAGTTTTAGTCTACTGCTATCAGCTATAACCAAGTTAAAATTATAATAATTTTTTTTTTTTCAAAAAAATTTAAAAAAAATTTTATTTTGTTTTGAATAAAATTAAAAAAAATTTAATATTTATAAAAAAAATCTCTTAATATAAGTAGTTTTAATTTTATCGTTTTTTTTTCTGGGATAATTTTATGAAAATTGTTGTTATTTGCATTTTAGCTGACGATATGTATTTCCTCTGAAAAATTAATATAGTTGGATTCACATTCCTGTGTGTAGTAATTTTTACGATTGGCTTGCTTACTATTTATTTAAACCCCGTTTAAAAAATATGCCATAATCTTACTTCTTTAATTGGTTATTAAAAGCTACATACATAAAAAGTCTTTTATAAATTTTTAAAAAAGTTTTATTTATATATTTTTTTAACTAAATTTCCGTTATTTTATTATAAATTTATCTCTATTACCCTTTTGCATACCACAAAATTCTGGCTCACTGCAAAATATTTCAAATCTATTATATATTCTTAAATAGAACCAAAGACACTAAATTAATATGCGTTTGTTGGAAAATCATACAAACCGTTAATCAGTACTAAACATACACACACAAATACACACAAACAACAATACAAATTTACTTAAAATATTTGCTTCTCTAATTTTGGGGTCAATATTTGCTAGTATAACGCTAAATATGCTAATTAATGACAATTTAATAATGACTTCAATGTAGAAATTTGTGACAAAATTGTCGTTTGCGGCATATGTCGTACTAAATACAGTTTAGTGTATTAAACTATTTAAATTTATTGATTTTCGTATGCGACTTGGAAAAGTCAGCAGAATATTCCTAACGCCTATGAAATTAATTTTCGATAAAATATACATACATATTAACCCTTTAATGCCACACACACTTACATATAAATTTATGTATCTTTCAGTTGTTTTACTTTTAGATTGTTGCTTAGGTTTGCGATATGTTTTTAGGGGTACTTTTTAATGGTTGTTGTAGTAATTATTGCTCAGAACTGCAGAAAATGCAAAGATCATGACCGATTCTTTACTAGACTAATATCTATTGATCAAATAAATTTTACTGGTTTCCGTCGTATAAAATATTATATTGAATTAAATTTGAGCACATTCTTGATATATAATATTTTTCGAACCAAAATTCAAGAAAATAATGCCCAATTGTTAAATATCAAAAAATATTAAATTATAAATACATATAGTACATATTTATACAATACCATACTATTTAGCTAATAATGCAGTGAATTGAGAAGTAAATCTCTAAATATTCTTTATCATTTGTTTTTCTCTTTTTTCCCTCGCTCACTCGCCCCCGCTCTAATGTCTAAATGCTTAAAAATAATAATAATAATAAAAACAACATGCGTAACTAATTAACGTGTATTGCTTGTGTTGGCTAACAACAATAACATTAATTGTGGTGCTAACAACATTAATGATAACTTCAAATCCAACAAAAACAACAACACATTACTTCATTAATAAAATATGGAAAAAACACTAAAACTAAAAAAAAAATATAAAACGCGCAACAAAAACCAAAAAAAATATATATATATATATAAAATAACAACGCTACTTACATTTCCCGGCGTTTGCAACAACACACGCGTATATATGCTTCTTTCAAACAACTTTCTGCATTCACGCATGCGCAACCACACATACGCTCTTGCGTCCCTTACATGCATTCGGTTGGTTGCTTGCTTGCGCTTAGGTTTGGATGTGTGGCGGTGTGCTCGAGATTGCGCCATGTTCGCGTGTGGGTCACGTGTTTCGTAAATCGACGCCGTACACCTTCCCCGGTGGCACAACGGAAATTGTCAATCATAATAATGCGCGTTTGGTTGAGGTGTGGCTGGACGATTGGAAAGAGTTTTACTACAGTTTTTATCCAGGTTAACAACAACAAAAGCACTACATTGCTCAGCATCGCTCTCTCTCCCACTATATATGTCCATATAGTACCATATATACCTATCTCTCTCTTTCTCCTATTGCAATTTACGCACAATTCGAATAGCGAAAATTACCTTTTACTACATGCATTAATTTATTAGCATATAATCTTTTTTTTATGTTTTTGTTGTTGTTTTTTCTTTCGTCTTCATTTTGGTTGTTCATTTTTTGTTTGTGTCGGAATTTTTTTATTTTAGTTTTTTGGTTGGTTTTTGCTAAGCAAACAAAAATTAAAATAAAATTTGCGATCAGTTTTAGCAAAACCAACCACATTTACATAAAAACTCTGTCGCAAGTGTATTACCACCATACATACTTACCACATGCATATTGAGAAAACCGTAAAACTCGTAAATACACTGTATCCACCACTGTATTCATTGCCCTTGAACATGCGTATGCGTACACTCCATGCTCCATGTAATATCTTTTTCTGTCACCACCCCCCCTCCCTCACTTGTCTTGTATAGTCCACATCTCCTTTACCGTTAATTTGTATGCGTTCCTTGAAAATTACCTTCATTTTATACTGTTTTTTGTATGATTCTCTTCATTTATTTTGTTGACTCTTTCTTGTCCTGTGCTATTTTATTATCTGTATGTAAATATGTATGTATACATTTACATTTTAAATTTGTGTTGTGAAATGTGAGGGAAAACACAAACTCCTTGTCTCGTGTTCTTGCAACAGCTGGCTTGTTTCTACATAACAGTATTTTTTTTCTAATACACAACTCTGCCAACATATTTGCAACAATTTGTTTATGTATAAAATTTTTATATATTTTAGGTTATGTTGAATACTTTTTTATTGTACATATAAAAATATATTTTGTATCATTGTATATATACTTGTATGTATAAGTATATTTTATTATTATTTGGTTTTAAATATTAATATTTATATATTTCTGTATTAATTTTGCATGTTCAAATACTCGGTATGCCAATTTTATTTGCTTGTAAATACTTACCTGCCCTTATGTACCATATAGCTCAATATAATTACTATGTATTCTGTGTATGCCCGCTTTTTGTAATAGTGGTTATACGTACATATTTATGTACATACTTGTATGTATATGTATATATGAGCTACGTAGAATTCAGCACAAAAACTCTGCATAAAAACAATATTTTCTTAACAAAAAAAAAAATATGACAGTGAAACATTTCTTTATTTGAGGAATAACCGTAGTTGTAAAAGTAAGGTTATGCTCTAATATATTCATTGTTTTCGATAAAACCCTTCTTTAGTAGTTCAAAAATTCACAGAATTTAACTTTATATTCAATCCAACATATTTTTCTCATTTTTTAGGGTTTTTATTATCGATATCGTCATCTGTTCTAATCCATAGCGAAAGATGATAAGTATCTCTATGGGCTATATATCAAATCTTTGATTTTATTTTATGAATACATAACTTAAGATCATACATTGGCAGCCACTGTGTTAAGCGAAGTCCACAACTTTTGTTTACATTTAGCCAAGTCAATAACCTTTTTTTACATTTGGGGTCATTGACTCTTTTGTTTACATTTTGCTGAGGTCAATGACACCTTCGTTCACATTTTATGGGGTTAATAACCCTTTTGATTACATTTGATGGGGTTAATAATCCTTTTATTTATATTTTGCAGAGGTCAATAACCCCTTTGTTTACATTATATAAGGCCAATAAAACTTTTGTTTACATTTAGCCAATTCAACAACCTTTGTTTATATTTGGGGTCATTGACCCTTTTTTTATATTTTATGAAGTCAATGACCCCTTTGTTTACATTATGATTTCGATGAACCTTTTGTTTAAATTTTTCCGAGGTCAGTGGCCCCTTTGTTTACAGTTTATGGGGTCAATAACCCTTTTGTTTACATTCATTACAAGTCCACAACCCTTGTTTACATTTAGCCAACTCCACAACCTTTGTTTATATTTGAGGTCATTGACCCTTTTGTGTACATCTAGCCAAGTTAACAACCTTTGTATATTATTAGTTCGTTAAATGTATCATTTATTACAATTGAAGACGGCTAAGCTTGTCTGAGTTCTGACTTCAATTCGGTTGAGTCGTCTTCAATCAGAAATAATAACTTATATGTATGCGTTATCTTTGAACTTTACATTGCCGAATGATGGTGTAAATTTGCAGAAAGTATATATTTTATAACTTTAACTGCCACCCTCATGTTTATATTCTTTAATAAGTAATAGAATGGTGCCGAGTTGACAGTCCTTGGCCGGATAAAAATCCGGGTCCGTTCCGGTTACTTAGACCCGATTGTCGTTGGAACGGCTCCAGAATTACTCATACCATATGATAAAATTTAAAGTTATATTGCTATATAACATAAATCCACAAAAATATTTCTGAGACCGTCGAGTAGCAGTTTTAGTCTCGATTAATAATATGAAGCAATTTGCTCTTTATTTTTTAATGACACATATACAAGTATATCATATTATATTTTTTTTTTCTCAAAATAAATGACAAATATTTTTTTAGCAGAACTTCAACTGAATAAATAACAGAAGCGAAAAATAAATATTTTCACGAAACTCTTAATTCATAATTAAATAAAAAACAATGATTATGGAGAAAATCACCATAGACACTATTGTGTGCTGTCAAAACCATAAACGCTATGAACCATCTAGCCACTAAAGGAAAATAAATAAAAAAAACTTTTTATATGTTATTATAACTAATATGTTGCGTATTCAAAGTATTGATATATTTTTAGTAAAATATCACACCTGTACATATGTATGTATGTAGTAATAAATGTAACATTAACACACTTCACAAACTCACGCATGAAAAAGCATGCAAAACCAATAACTTTCACTTTGTAATTAAACACTTAATATCAATAATAATACCACACAATTATCACAGCCACACCCACTTCTGTTCATTAATTAATTTTCCATTTCTTCTCGTTACAACAAAAAAAAAAAACAAAGAACAACGGAAAACATATGGTTTTTGTAAAAATTAATTTTTACTCTTTATTTTACAAATCTCAATCTCATTTCATCGCGAAAATGAAACTGAAAATTAACAGGTGCACGCAAAGCTGTAGCCGGCGATGTGAGCGATCGACGAGCGCTGCGCGAACGTTTACAATGTAAGAGCTTCCGCTGGTATTTGGAGAATATTTATCCGGAAAGTTTAATGCCATTAGACTATTACTATTTGGGCGAGGTAAATCGCAAAAATATATGCTCTATTTATTATTATTAATTTATTTTTATTTTGCACACAGATTCGCAACGGCGAAACGGAGACCTGTCTGGACACTATGGGTCGCAAATATGGCGAAAAGATCGGCGTCAGCTATTGCCACGGCCTGGGCGGCAATCAAGTGTTCGCTTACACGAAACGACAGCAAATCATGTCCGATGATCTCTGCTTGGACGCATCGAATGCGATGGGTCCAGTGAATATGGTGCGTTGCCATAATATGGGTGGCAATCAAGAGTGGGTTTATGATGCAGAGGTGAGTGGAAATTCAATTCATTATTAATTAGTACTGTGGTGGACCTACTACTATATATGTACATTCTTTGATGACTTTGTGTTTTGAAATTGCATAATTAATTCGCTCAAAATAGACATGCAAGTTTACATAAATTTACAACTAGCTGAAAGTAGTTAGTTAGTTAGTAAATTAATTTAAAACAAAAAAAAATTTTTTCATAAATAAATTTTATCATAAATTTTCATAATTCAATCTTATTTTTATTATGCCTTATTTCGGTCGCTATGCATTTATAATTAAATTTTTTTTTATTATTTCATCTTGAATCATGCAGGATAAAACGATACGACACACCAATACTGGCAATTGTTTGCAACGTCCGTCACGTAGTGACCCGGTGACGCCGCTGTTACGGCCATGTGATTATTCAAAGGGTCAACAGTGGCTGATGGAATCTAAATTTAAGTGGCAAGCACATTAGTTGTTGTTGTTTCTAATCATGATATTTACAATTAGTTAGATAGATAGTTGTCATATACATATATAAATATAAATTTTTTTTAATGTTAGTTAACTTTTTATTGTTTCACACTAACATTTGCTGATACATACTATAACTATTATATATACACAAAAGGTATATGCATGCATACATACATGACTTTTACTACAAAAAAAAAAAAATTTTTTTTACTACTAAAACCTATTTGTTGTAATTATATAATGGAGCCATTGTAAATTTCGTTTTTAAATTTGTGCAAGCAGCAATAAAAATCTGCACTGAAATAGTATGTACGCAAAAAAACATACATACCTACGAGTACATATGTATGTATGTATGGACCGAAAGAAAAATATATCAAGTTAATAGTAAAAATATGTGCAACAACAAAGTAATTGATTATCTTTGTAAAGTCTTCCCTATGATTAAAGAAAATGAGAAAATATATAAAAAAAATATTTATATATAAAAACCGACATGCAAATCACGACAGACACACATATGGTATTTGTAGCATTGTGTAAAAGTATAACTAGCATTGAAAGAAAGTGCAAGAAAATGTTTCAGCAAATAATAATTTTTCTGTATATATGAAATATGAAGAGTTTTGCTCCAAAATTCACGAAATAACAAAAATAAATTTTTTTTATAAAAGCCACACAAACACACACACGAAAAATATTTAAAACGTCCATTCCAAATGAAAAGTTAGAAACAACAAGTTTTGTGGTAATTTTTAGGCTGTCACAGCTAAAAAATAATTTTGTGGAAATTAACCTCGAAAAGTTTCTATATAGTAAGTAATATAATTGAAAAGGCGAAAAAATAGTAATTGACTTATTAAAATTATGTTTCACTTGTAGTAACGACACATTTAGCAATAAGTCTTATTATTATTTAGCTTAAGCTTATACTAGCCGTTACATGAATAGTCGAAGTGTTAAATTAGAAAAAACAAATGAAAATGTTCGTACCAACCGATTGGCATTTAATAGTACACGTCAAAGTTAATTTAAAAATTAAAAAAAATTATAACAAAAACATTTGTGTAAACCGAAAATGTGTCATAAAAAAATATTTAATGCATATGTATGTATGTACATATGTATGTAAATTGCATAATTTTTTTTTAATTTTTTAACGGCAAGCCAAACTTTTGTTACAGTATTTCTTTTAGTTTATTTTACTTACGACTTCATACTAATTTAATGCTTTCTATATTTTACCTATAAATGTAAATAATTTAAATGCGAAAGTTTGCGCTGAACATAAAATTTTTATTCAATACAAATGAGTTATGTAATTGTGCAAGCATAAATACATGAAAAAATATTTTTTTTTTGCATAATGAAATGTTTATATGCTAACACTGCGTCAAAAGTAAAATTAATTAATTAATAAAAAATTAAATAATTTGCATGCGAAGCTGTTGCCAGTCACTCATTTGTATAAAATAAAAATTTGATGCTCACGCAGTAATGCTAAAAATAATGGTTGTAAACGCTTACAGGTAAAAATTTTCAGTAATGTTTTTTAAATATTTTTTTTATTCATATTTTTTAAAAAAATTTTTTAATAACTTTTTTTTTATTAAAATAAAAATTTTCTAATTTCAAGCGAGTTAAACTAAAATATTATATACAATTTATTAGCAGTAAAATTTTAGAAAATTTAAGCGAAAATTGCAGTGTAATGATGTAAGTTATAAGCGGTGGTACAAATTTTTAGGCTAAAGAAATTATTATTTTTATTATAATTTTTAGCAAGCATATATCTATGATTACAAAAAAAAATGCATTTATTTATATTTTTGGTATCTTCATAATATGTTTGCTCTTATTTAATATTAAATGTCAGTATAAGGCTTAGGTGACCACATTTGTCCCGACAAAATCAGAGGTTTTTTTTAGTCATCGATTTTTTCCATATTATAAGTTACTGAAAATCGCGACATATAATAGGTGAGAGAGCAACACTATTTTATTAAATTCATTTTATTTTTTTTTACACATTTATATAAAAAAAATTTTGAATATAACAAAAATTTTGCAAACTATAAACTTTAAAGAATTTCCACACCAATTAAAATAATAATTTCATTAACTGTGTTTTACATATATAAATATTTTTGTTTTAATTTAATATTAAATTTTCAGTTGTCTGTCAGTTGTCATTAAAAATTTTTTTTTTTTTAAATAGCAAAAATCCTTCCAAACAATCAATTTGTCCTTATACCGTTAAAGAATTTCCATACTAATTAAAATAATAATTTCTTTAGCCAAAAATTTACTATCTGAAAAGTTAACTGCAACCGACTTCAAAAACTAATTATGTATAATGCAAAAACAAAATATCATAAAAAAGTTAAACATTTATCATATCATAAAATATGTATGTATTTAGAAAATGAAACGTATGTATGTAAATGCTTGGAACCATCTAAAATGCGCGCATGCGTAAGCGACGTATGTGTCCTGCAGTAAATTTAATTAGTCTAAGCAAGGCACAGCAAGTTTGTTCACAAAATTAGCAAAAAATAGCAGGTAATAAGCTCACTACTGTTATTTTGAGACTGTTGTTAATTTTTGCTGTAAAATGATTTTTGTTTGTAATTTATTGCTATGGTATTTTTATATATCGTTTTGGTTTTGATGTTTAAATGCTCTATATATATACTAAAAAAAATGCTGCAAAAGCATTCAAAACTCTTAAATTTGAAAAAAAATAAATAAATACTATATGTATATGTACGTACATTTGGAACATTATATAAAATGACATAGTCATGATATTTTGATAACTAATAAGGTGTAAAAAAGTTGCCAGATCAGTTACAATATTATAACTGATTATATAGATCCGGTCATAATTGATTATGTGTGAAAAACTTTTTAAACAATTTATTTTTGCTTATTGACTTAAATTTTGCACTTAAAAATATTTGCAAACTGCTTATGATTTTAAAATTTTGCAACGCTTTTTTTTGGATTTTTTTTTTAATTTATCTAAAATTTCAAAGCATAAATCAATACTTAGAACTTTTCAAAAATATTTGTTTCCTTTTGCTTTTCATGTACATACATATACATATAAGCATTCCACAGCTTAGATTTACATTTTTTTTTTGTGTAAACAAATCTGTGGAAAAATAGAAATTGATTAGCTTATCAATGATATTTTACTTATTACTATTTATGTTTGTAATTATGCAATATCAATTAACTTTTTTCCATTTTTACCGTTTTTATTGTGCAATGCAAGCATTTAACGTTCTTTGCAATACCGTTAACACTTCAAACACTCCTTTTTATAAACTGTTCCTAGCTAAGTAGTTGCAAGTAATGAATAATTATAAAAAAATCAAGAATGTTTGCATCTCTCAATTTGTAACTAATCATAATCATAAACAAACTAGCAACCAATATAGTACATACAATATCATAAAAAGTCACAACAACAATAACATAAATAAAATATATAGTAATAAAAAAAAGCGCTAGAAAAAGATTTGCTCTGTAAGAGAAATTTAAAAAAAAAATCATCAAATAAATCTACACGTACAACAAATACCGATTGTATATAGTAAATAAACGAAAATTAAATGCATAACAATTTTTAAGTGATCTGCAAGTACATATGAATATATTTAAAATATTTCAAAAAATTTTGAAAACTACTCTAAGCAAAATAATAATATTAATATAATATAATGCTACGTAAATTTGTATTGTAAAAGTACGATAAAAATTTGTAATTTTTATAGCTCATAATTGTAAAAAAAAAAAAATTAAAACAAGTCCAAGAAATATTTATTTCAATATTTGTATGCAAAATCAAAACATTATTTATAAAGCAAATTTATATTTTTAAGTGCAATCGACTTCAAAAGCAAATCTCTTTGTGTAACTATAATTTTGTATTTAAACATTTTGTACGACATATATACATAGATATTTTTCATGAACTTTTTCGCATGGTGCGCATTATCAAATGATCCGGCTTGAAAAATATCCATATCAATTGTTAAATATTATATTTTCCTTTTTGTTCTAGCAATTTCATAACTTTTTAATTCTCTGTTTTAAGTTTAAAGTCTTTTTTTTCACCTTGTGAATCCACATTTTTCATTTATTTGCAGCCAAGCTAATTCAATTAGCTGATAATATATTTCTTTTTATTCCACATATTGTATAAGTATTGAATAAGCGTAAACACACATTTGTATTTTACAATTTAGGATGAAACATTTTAAACGAACTTTTGAAATGAAATAAATGAAAATAATAATAATGACCTACAACCTACATTTGCCAATTTGTTTTATTTACTAGTCAACATTAGTTGTAAATATAATGCGTGAAATACCCACTCGCTAAGGATTAAAATCCAACATTGAATAATTTGAGTCACCCTGTTTTCATCTTTTACACATCAGCCAACTCTACCAGGCGAACAGAAGCGTTTAGAAAGTGTCACAGGAATTTTTTTGCGGACGCGCCTTGCGAGTATGCAACGTTCCTGCGCGCATGTGTCCTTCCTGTTGGCACAGCAGCGCCTCGAGTATAGGCTATGTTTCTGTGGCGCTCAATGGTTGCTGGCGGCTTTAAACATAAAATGTGCAACTCGCATTTCTACCAGGCGACCAGAAACGTGCAGAAAGTGAGGGTGAAAGGATAATAGCAACAAACGTTGTATTGATATTTGATGTATATTTTGTTGTTGGTCAGAGTATGCAAAGCTAACAATGCAAAATGCATTCTAATTGAATTTTCTTACTTATTTTATTAAGCCTTATATACAACTTTTTGCATATAAATATTGGATATTGTCAATATTGATATAGAATATGCACCAAATCTAATTTCGTGCACTAATTTTAGCTTCTCCTACTGCTATTATCACACAAATCACAACACTTTTCATATTTGTTTTAAAAAATCATTTTTTTTATTTTCTTTTTCCTTGTACAACAAAGCGTACCCGTAAGCCGGCGGCCAAACAACACTACCAAATTGAAATTTGGTATAGCGCGATTCGCGCCAAATTCAATGTAAATTAAACTTTTTACTAGTTGAACTGAGAATATCAGTCCGGTTTCTAAGTAGGAATTTACTGTTCCTTGGTTTCACGCAAACGACGCACAGCCGAACGTACGGAAGCTGCGGCGGTGGTGGAGTACACCCAAGCGCCACCGGCAACAACACGCTTACAGCGTTTGCAGGACCAGATACCAACGCAAGCACGTTTCATCGAGTCCTATAAGAAGAGACACAGAAAAAATTACTTAGTATTTAAACAAAACAACAAAGCTTGATGCAAAGTTACCTTGCCGCAGAAGGTGCAGGTGTATTTTGAATGCTGGGTCACCTCCATCTTCTTGACCATTTTACGCAGGGAGGCACCATAACGGGTACCATATTTACCAACGATTCCAACTTTCTTGGTGCGTTTGGCCTGAGAAGTACAAAAGAGCATTTAAGCATATTAATAATCATCGTACTTGGTTATCACAATAGTCTATATAAACACTTGGTCAAATGCATTAAAAATGACCACAAATCACAGCACGTTTATATTATTAACATTAAGTAAGCATAGTACTACATATTTCACTTAAATATATTTTTCTTCACTTTTGGATTATAATAAAATTATTCGATTTATCTAGCCCGTACCATTTTTAAGTTGTTGATCTGTCAAAAATTCAACCGGAAAGAAACAAATGTCACTTGAAGTTGGCTATTATTCGTTCGATGACAGCTGCCTCATAACAATGTTGCCAGAACCAAATGCCGTTGGTATATGTCATATACAGTGATGGCAGAGATGTATAGAATTGCCAAATATAGTACAGCTAAGGGTAACTGGAATAAGAAAATTGAGTTTTAAATATGTTGTATTAATAAACTAAATATAAAAAACTTTACTGCAACTAAAATCTTTATTCCCACACATAAGGGATATATATTAAATTATTATTTTTTTTTTTAACTAAACGAGTATTTAAGTGAGAAAGTTTACTTCTTTTGATTGGAGAAAATATTGCATTACGTTATATTCTTATTTTAAGATTTTTATTGATAAACAATATGAACATTTTTTTATCTTTAATGTTGTTTTCATTCTAGAGCCGCAAACATTTAGAATATTATAAATTCACACGGTTAAAGAAAATAATCAAAAGTTGTGGTTTGACATACAATTATAACGAATTGACAAAAAATTATCTGCTATTAGTAACCACAAAGTAGTTTTTATCAGAGAACGTATATCATATCTCTGGTTTTTATTATCAAAAGGAGATGCCATATTTTCTTATTAAACTAAATTTAATATAACATAATAAAACAACGTCTAATTGAAAATTTAATTCGTATGATATCTGTTTATAACATAAAGGCATACGGAGCACAATGGATTCTAAAAACTGGAAATTATTGCACCAAATTGGAAAAGTAATACCAATTGGGTTTACTTCGTAGAATTAACAAAATAACATACTTCAAGAAGAGAACTTTTAATTTACGTTCTCTGCTTTAAGTACAAATTTTTCAAATACATGAACTGTAGACAATGCTAATCGCGTGGCAACTCCAATCAGCTGGCAATCACTTGTTTTAGTTTTGTTATGATTTATCGCAAAAATATACGACAGAGAACTATTTAAATATTGATAAAACTGGGGAAAGGTGATTACTCTTTAATTAGCGGCAAACGAGATTAACGACAAAGTAAAAAACACGAAAATTACATTCATAACAAGCAGCAACGCAATTTATTCTACATACCCGAAAAAAAGACAATTGGCTAGTGGGTGTGCACAGAGTTGGACACTTTCCACGGAGTTGAAGGTATTTCCTGATTTACAATAACAGCATAGCATAAATGTTCATGCGTTTAAACAAATTGTTTAATTTAAGCTACGTCAGAAGTATGGGCGAATCGAAGTGCTACACACTGTTAAGAGATCCTAATACATATACGCCAGATACAATCGACTTGAACAAGGATACGAAAGCGGCTGCATATTGGTTCCCTTGCTTTCGTGACTTGGTTGCGAAATTTGCCACACAGGCAGCCGAAAGTCAATGTCAAACTGACGACACAGCCACGCAACGGGCGGAAAACTTCCGTAAATCCTATTTGGAAAAACTGGATGAATACCAAAGAAATACAGAAATAAATGCGGCCAATAATATTGTGCTGGGTATACGTGAATTGCTGGAATTGAATGAGACACAGTTGCGTTTATTTGGTTTTGCCGATCCATGGAAACAACAAAAACAATTAGAAAACACTGCTGCCGTTGCCAACTTAAAGAAGCGGTTGGAAGAGTTAGATGCCATCGATGACAATGCAGCACGTTGGACAGAGCTGGTGCGCGGTGTGCTTGCTGGTAACATGTTCGATTGGGGTGCACAAGCTGTAGCGAGTATTTTGAATGAGGATACAAATTTCGGTTTACATGCAGCACTGGAGCGTATACAAAAACGTCCTTGGCTAATAGACAATTTGGATGCCTGGTTGCAGCGGTTGCGTGGCAATGCGCATAAAAGTGCGCTTATCTTCGTCGACAATAGTGGCGTAGATGTTGTGCTAGGCATACTGCCATTCGTGCGTGCACTGCTGCAACGTGGCACCAAAGTGCTATTATGTGCAAATACCGAACCTTCGTTGAATGATGTGACAAGCGGAGAGCTGTCTGAACTGTTGGATAAATGCTGCACACATTGCAGCATACTCGCAAAAGCAAAGCAAGAGCAAAACTTACTAGTGTATGCGAATGGACAGAGCGGTCCCTGCTTGGATATGCGTACATTGCCGAGTGAATTGTGCGATGCTATACAAAAACATGAGACTGATTTGCTAGTAATTGAAGGTATGGGCCGTACGCTGCATACAAATCTCTATGCGAAATTCAACTGTGAGACACTTAAATTGGCTGTCATAAAGAATAAGTGGCTGGCGGAGCACTTGGGCGGTGATACCTTTGCAGTTATATGCAAATATGAAGATGCAAGCTAGTTAATACCACCTAAGTTATACTGCCGTTTAATTTGAGATTAGATTATCTATTTTAGACTACTTGTTTTAAAGAGATGGCGACGCGTTATAATCGTGAATTGTACGTGTGTGTTAAACAAAGAAGAATAAATCGTTTATTATCGTCACGTAGATATGCAAGTTAATACGTAATAATAAACTAAAATAGGCATACAAACATCAAGACAAGAATATGTTACGTTTTAGATAATTTGCAATGTGAGAATATAAGTGTCAATGACCAACTGATGAATGATCTAATATAAAATACATATATATATATATATACAAGATATTAATTGTTGAAGAAACAAATTTTAAAGATTTCTTTGTAAAAGGCAAACGCGCCTTTTTGAATTTAGTCTATGGTATGTCAATTGTTGTGAACAGAATAAAATTTGTAATTTTACTAAAAAAAAAAGAATACCAAACGATACAAAATTATCATTTCAGTACACAATGGAGCAGTGTGTGTAGTATAATTGTTTTTTATCACATCGTTTTATCATTTAATATGCATTCATACTTAATCTAGCGAAATCTACAGATGTCTGTGTTTATTTTAGTTTTAGTTTAGTTGTCTCTGTTAAAATATTTGCCGTGTGTGCTTACGCTTAGGTGTAATTAATGGTGTATAATTTCATTTTTTTTTTTCAAATGGTATTGTGTAATGGCCTTGCTATACCCTTAACAGGGTACATTATATTTGCTACGAAGTTTGTTACACTCAGCAGGAAATGACGGAGACCCTACAAAATGTATATATAAATGATCAGCATGTTGAGCTGAGTTGTCTGTCTGTCTGTATATACGCGTACTAGTCTCTCAGTTTTTGAGATATCGATCTTAAATTCAGCATATGACCGTTTCTCATTGAGAAGCTGCTCATTTGTCGGAATGGTCGATGTTGTCCGATTATGCGATGAAGCCATATATTGCACAAATGATCAGTATGACGAGCTCAGTCGATTTAGGCATGTCCGTTTGTACGTCTGTATACACGCGAAGTGGTCCCACAGTTTTTGAGATATCGATCTGAAATTTTGATTAAATCATCATTTTCTTCCCAGGAAACTGCTCACTTGTCGATACTGTCGATATCGTACCAAGATAGCATACATATATGGTGCATACTTGTCATACAAACTACCATAAACGATCAAAATCAAGTTCTTGTATTGAAAATATATCTAATATATTTGACAATATATCTTCACGAAATTTGGCATGGATTATTACTGGAGGCAATGGTATAAACTTCGAACAATTTGTTTCGAACGAACTTTAGAATATAGCTGCCATACAAATTGATTGATCAAAATCCATGAAAATGGTTAGCATTAAATGTTTACTTCAAAAATTTGACTGGGTATTCTCAAAATATGTATACATATACACTTAAAATTTTTAGTTTATTTTCAATTCCATAAATCGCCAATTTTAGGCTCAGTTCGCTCCAGCTTATTAGTGCTAGTATATATAAATGCATATATATTTGATAACATAGCTTAGAACATACGAACACTAAACATAATCCAAGCGCTACGAATTGCCACCTAAAAGTTCCTAATCTCCAACACAAGCGCAAGCAAATCATGTGGAAGGAGTAGAGCAAGCTGTTGCGCTGACACAACACAAGCGTTTGAGCGGATTTAGTTAGTGCCCGACTTTGGAATTTCAAATTCCATAGTGGTGAGACATGATTGCTGACCAATTTTAAAGTGTAATTAAAATTAATACAAACGCATGCTTCAGTCTAGCCGTAAGACAGTCGTGCTGAGCCATCGCAGAGACAGACGAATTGCGAAACTAGCAAACTATTTTAGCACATACAAATATTCTGCGTTTCTACACACTTATATATGTATGTATGTATCTATGTACGAATCTCACCCGCGTTGTTGGCATAATCCATTTTAGAATGACTTTGTGCAACGCTTATACTGTATGTAAGTATGCGGTAGACGTTGAAAACTTTTGCCGACGCACACAAATTCCACTAAAAAAGACGATTCACAACACAATCATTGGCTTGTGGTGGCGCAATGAAAAGTTTGGCGTTAAAAAATCAGTTATTGTCGTTAGCGCTTACAGCGTGCAGTGTCACCAAGCAACGTTTTTGTTACTGTGTTGTTGGCGCTGACGACATTCTTGCAGAATCATCGCAAGTTGCAGGGTGACGCTGCGCTCAGCACATGGCTGCAATTATAATTTGGCCGTATGAAACTTTTTGGCTGCGATTACACATTTTAGATTTCTAGATTTCATAAAATACATAATTTTGTGGCTGAACTTTTTGATATTGTAGACTTGTAGTTAAGAAAAAAATATATATTTACAAAATTTTTTAAGTTATATATGAAGTGAGTAAACCTTATTATCGCTAGAAAAATAATCAAGTTCTTAAAGTCAACTCTTTTGCTTTGCTTCGAGTGCATTTACTGCATCTTTTCTTTGGCCCCAGTCTAATCTAATGCTGATTAATTGCATTTTTTTCTCGCTTTGTTCGCAGAAAATTTCACCGCAGCAGCAGAAGCTCTAAAAGAGCAAAAGTTTTAGCCACCACTTAAGCCAGAATTAATTGATATTTATGTGGCTCATTTGAATTACTTAATATAGCGCGAGTGTGAGCTGCAGTGCTGGCGCAAGAAAACATATAAAGTGAAAAGTTTTCGAATTAAAAAATGCAAATGAAAAGAAATGATTTGCTGGTATGTACGGAGCGACAAGAAAGCACTAGAAAGAAAGCTGGAGATTACAATAGATTACAATGAGCTCGCGATTGCGAAAAGACCAACTTTTGTTATGCAAAATTTTTTAG